TGAGCTCTCTCCTGTCCCCATCCCCATCCCACACCGACAGACCTCGCTCTTGACAGCCCCTGGGCAGGATTTGTCCCCTCTCAGTTTCTCTCTGCCTCTGCCAGGATGCACCAACCTCAGAAGAGCTGGAGCAGTTTGCCAAGGACCTCAAGCACAAGCGCATCATGCTGGGCTTCACCCAGGCTGATGTGGGGCTGGCTCTGGGCACCCTCTACGGTAAGGGTGTGGTGAGGGTCCTCGTCTCTCTCCCCACACCTGGGGGGAAGGGAGAGGCCTGGGAGGGGGATGGAGCACCTGGGCAATGGAGATAATGCTCCTTAACGACCTGCAAAGGAGGTGGTGAGCACCAGCCCTAGGGCTCCTGGGGCTCCCCAGCCCTGTGAAGTACTCACTTAAGCTGGAAGGGTTTGATAACAAGGAACTGGTTTAAAATAGCTACAGCTGCTTATTGAAGAGTGTTTCAGCAGGGAGAATGCATTTCCTGGGCCCCCATCCCCCAAAACAGGGGATGCTGGAGGCGGGGAGATCCCCCAGTGCAGGGGCAGGAGTCGTGCATGATGCCTTGCCTGCCCACACAGGGAAGATGTTCAGCCAGACGACCATCTGCCGCTTTGAAGCGCTCCAGCTCAGCTTCAAGAACATGTGCAAGCTGAAACCGCTGCTGCAGCGTTGGCTCAACGAGGCGGAGAACACGGACAACATGCAAGAGGTACGGGGCTCGAAGTCGGGGCACCGCACACACCAACACACCAATGGGCCCTTGAGCTTCCAGCTTCTCCTCCCTTGCTTTTATATGACCTTTTTGGGAGAGAAGAGGGGAGCAGTGGGTGTCTTGGGCCATAGGAGCATCTCACTGCCATGGCTTCAATCCAGCTGTGGGGGGAACCACTGGGTATAACGTTCTGCCAGGCTGGGGGGAGCCCAGATCCCCCCAAAAAACACCTTGTGACAACTGTGGCAGCTCCTGTTTTGGAGCAGCAAGGTCCTGCTGGAATCTCAGATAACCTGGAGATGCAGCTTGATGCTCCCTGGGGAGCCTGGGGGGATGCAGGAAGGCATGTCCACCCCACCTCCACCAGCTGCAGGCAGCACTAGGACATTGGGAATGGCCCCAGTCACGGTGGAGTGATGCTCGGTTCACAGTCACAGGGATGAAGCCTGTCCCCATCCCTCCCAGACCTCTGCAGCCACCCACATGTGTGTCCAGAGCTTGGTGGGGACATTACCAGCGCTGTGACCAAACGTGTGGTCTCTCTCTCATTTCCAGATGTGCAATGCGGAGCAAGTGTTGGCCCAAGCCCGGAAGAGAAAACGCAGGACCAGCATCGAGACCAACGTGAAGGGGACACTGGAGAGCTTCTTCCGCAAGTGTGTGAAGCCCAGTCCCCAGGAGATCTCCCAGATCGCCGAGGACCTCAACCTGGACAAAGATGTAGGTCTGGGAGGGTTCGAAGGGTGGGTGCCCAAATGGCTGTGGTTCCTGAGCACCCACATCAAGCCAGTTTGATACTGGAAGCTGTGGGAGAGGAGCTGTGGCAGGGAGGGAGCTCTGCTGGCGTGTCAGGGGTCTGCGCAGATGCCACCAGCCGAAGAGTCTCCTCGTCACCCACACGGCACTTGGGCTCACCCCCTTCACCCTTCCCCATCTCCTCTCCCTTGCAGGTGGTGCGGGTTTGGTTCTGCAACCGGCGTCAGAAAGGCAAACGGCTGCTGCTGCCCTTCGGCAACGAAGCGGAGGGGGTGATGTACGACATGAACCAGTCCTTGGTGCCCACCGGTCTGCCCATCCCAGTGACGTCTCAGGGCTACAGCCTGACACCCTCCCCTCCCGTCTACATGCCACCCTTCCACAAAGCTGAGATGTTCCCTCAAGCGCTGCAGCCTGGGCTCTCCATGAGCAACAGCAGCCACTGAACAGGGAGCTGTGGTGGGGCCAGCAATGGTGCTGCCCCAACACTGCAGCTGGGCTGGCTCTCCGGGGGCAGCTTCCCCCCCTTTCTTCACCCTGAGAAAGCACAGGCACGGCCCTGTTCCCCCTCCCGGGGCCTGCCTGGGCTGCCTTAGGGCTTTTGGGGTGTAAGGGGCAGGGG